AATGGCATTAAATCACCTAAACTACTGTTAGAGAGCGGTTAAGGAGATAAATCGTGCACTTTTGGAAGAAAGCATGAAACTTCCCACAGTGATACTATGATACCTAAGGATCATTAAAAAAAATAGACACCAAAAAAATAATCCGCTTAAGTGGCCGCCATCTTGAAATATAAAATGGCCACCAAAATATTGGATTTTTATCAATAATGTTTTTGATCTACTTGTTTATTATATGATGCAAAAACGCTTCTAGACAGTCGAATACAAAATGTTTTGTTTGTGTATACATATACCACAGGTGGGCAAAGTGCGGCCCGCGAAAATAAATTAAAAACCCTATGTGTGCGGCCTGCTAAGCAACATTAGCTAGAAAACATCTTATTGTTTACGGGCAGACGCCGATTATGTAAAAAAGTAACATTAAACTGAGAATAAAGTGGTGTAAAAGCAGTGCTTTGAGGATTTTGGAAACTCAATGGAAACATCAAAGTTTTGGTGCATTTGCATGCAGTTTGAGTGCATTTAGCACTGTTTCTGTCATTATTTTATTAGTTATACCACAATGCTACGCAGCAACATTGATTCTATGTTACTTCATTATAATACAGGTATGACTTCTAGAGTATTCTTTGGCAAACAGTATATCAACAAACAGTATAAGGAAATTTTTTTTTTATTTGACAGGCTATTTCCGATATGATACTCACATCACTTTCCATTTATTCGAGCTCTGTTTTCACTTCACCATTATTTAATTATATAAAGAGAATGCTACACACAAAAATTAATTATATACATACATACGTACATGCATACATACATACATACATACATACATACATACATACATACATACATACATACATACATACATACATATATATATATATATATTATATATATATATATATATTATATAATTATGCATATTTGAAAATGATATCTAGTTTATTCGATATTATTGCCTTCATACCATTACTTGAATGTGATATTAATTTATGTCTACATAAGTTCATTAATGCTAAAGTTATCTATATACTTTTCTTAATTTTACTTAATTTTTCTTGATTTTTCTTTTATTTCTTTTCACTTTCTCCATTATATTCATTTTCTATTCATTTTATTTCTTTTCCTTTCCAGTGTCTTTCTTTTCCTTTCCGCTCTTTATTTTTCTTTCTTTAATTTTCTTTTCTGTTTTTTTTTTCCTTTCAATATTTACATATGTGTTTATATATCATTTGAAAATGATAATTAGCCATCTCATAGACATGAGGTCTATTCGATTGTGTCTTCTCACCATTAATTTTAATATTTGATTTATGTTTAAATAATTTCATTTGTGCTAAAACTAGCTAGATTTTTAATATCTGCATCTATCTCTCTCCCCAGGGAAGATTTGAAGACTGAGTAGACTCAAAATTTTAGGTTTTAATTCAAATAAAATACCACTATGGCACTTGCCACCTAATTTTCGCCTCGGATTTTTTTCACTAGAAGATTTCTTTTCCATCCAGCTATTTTTCCAGGCTATTTCTAGCTGTTTTTCAACTGCTATTTCCCCCGGCTATCTTGTCCCAGTATTTTCCGTTGTATTTTTCCTCCTAGTTTTCCAACTGAATGTTTTCATCAGTTTATCTATTGTGTAAGGCGGAACACATTATTTGTTTATGTTTTTGTTTTGTAAGGTTACATCATAAACGTGTGCCGATGATAAAAAGCCTTATTCAATCAATAAACTGATTGACTCTTGATGCATTTGAAATACTAATGAAGCCAAAAGACTCATTGTGGAAACGTGATTTTAAAAAGTTTGCTTCCGTGTTCACACAAAAAAAAACAGGAAACCTCTTTTTAACATTGAGTACTCTTTTGGACTATAAATAGCACAAATATTTCCTGGTCGGTCTATATATCCTACTTATGTTTTGCTGCATCAGCTAATAATAATCTGGCAAGGAGGGAAATATTATTTCCACCATTAAAATGTCTGATAGTGGCCATTCTTGTACTATGCCGAACATTTTCTAGTAGGTTTTATTGGGTTAACTCACAAGCTGATCTATATGATATTCAATTGGTGTGATATGTGCTGTAAATATGAATACATAGGCTAAAATTAATTATTTTGGCAGCCATATTAAATTTCAAGATGACGGCCATTTTGAAATTTAATATGGTGGTCTTCTGACATAATTTCTGGTGGCTGTATGGTAGTCCCTGTTATCGAAAACATGTGCAACGGTCTTTGATTGACAGTGCTAGATACGGTACTGTAGATATAAATATTGACAAAAATATCATTAATTTGGCGGCCATCTTGAAATCTAATATGGCGACGCCATCTGACATAATTTCTGATGATTGCATTACACTCCTTGATATTGAAAACATGGGTAATGATCTTCAATTGGCAATGACATGTGCTGTAGATATGAATATATTGGCTAAAATCAATTATTTTGGCGGCCATATTGGATTTCAAGATGGTGGCCATTAGGAGGCGTTATCTTTTGGGGTCTGTTTTTTTTTAATGATCTTTAGGTGTCATAGTATCACTATGGGAAGTTTCATGCTTTCTTCCAGAAGTGCACGATTCTACCTGAAATTCTAATTACCTGAAATACTATGTATAAACCAAGCTTGTTTTTAATTTATTTTGTTTTCTGAAATTCATGAACAGTGTTTGTACAGTACAATCCCAAAAAGAAGCCTACGCTATCTTGAAAAGAAGCCCATGGGCTTCTTTTCGAGATGGGCTTCTTCAGGCTACTTTTGCAAACTAAAAAGGGGGCTTCAATTCGAGATGGGCTTCATCTCCAGATTAAGCCCACTGGGCTTCAATTCGAGGTTTTACGGTATCACATACATACACAAATAGGCCTACACACATACAATGCACAGTGTTAATATAGAATGTTGTGACATTTGTGGTTGTTTGACATTTGCAGGTCCAATGTTTTTACATTAGTGGTTATTTTTGCATTTGTGGCGGATTTGTACATTTGTGGGTTCTACACTCTCCCTTCAGACCAAAACTGTAAGGAAGAAATACGCAAATCCTTTGGCATCAGTGCAAGACATGGCAGATGGGGTGACGGTGGTAGAGCGAATGCAAAAGCAGCGGAACTACATTTCACCTACTTTGAGGATCCCCATAATTACTTGTGAAGTCTTAGCTGAGTCCAGACCCTCATCGAGTTAAAAATTACTATTAATAAACTGTTCATGATGTTCGACCGACATATTGTGAAGGTTTTGGGGATATCCAGGTAATAGCATAAATCGTAAAATTGTAGGCTTTAAATTGCATCATGAAACTGAATCCATCTAATAGCAAAGAAGGCCAACTATGAAATTTGACATCTAACGCATTTACATTTTTATTTATAGACCTAATGATAGAAGTCTTAGTGATTATGTGCAGGTAAGCATTAATAGATTTTGTGACCTACTTTTAGGAGCATCTGGGCCAATCTCACATAATCATGAATACGTGAGTTTACTACGTAATCAGTTCTATCCCTAAAATAGGCCTACTTGTTTTGGCTCCAAGAATGTAAACGCTCTTTTTAAAGATATATTGTCTCATTAAAAATACCAAAAAGATAATAAAAATCATTTTTTAAAATTAACTTGCCCGTTTTGAAGTAACATAAAAAGTTATCAATTTGAACTTTTGGTTACTGGAAGTGATTTATTATTTTTATTATAATAATCCAGTTTATAAGCCAGGGTACACATTTTGTTAAGTTCAATAATTTCTATGCTCTAATTTCTAATTTCTATTATAATTTATAATTTCTATGCTATAATTTGGATGTTACTACAAGTTAATTTCAAAATTATTTTTAAAATTTTTTTTTTTAAGAGTCGATATGTTTAATGTTAAAAAACACATTGAATTCATTAGTGGTAAACACACATAGACAACATCAGTACTGGACAACATGCGATGACAAAAAAAAAACAATTGATTAAACAAATCCCACATCATTGTATGTGGCAGAAAGATCGGTGTTTCAATTACCCACCCTCGTTTCATGATTTCAAAAAATGCTTGGATAGTGACAACGGAAAGCAGGTATAGGCCAAGGTCGCGCATAAGGTATCGCACCTATGATTAAATACAAAGTGCTAAAAATCAAATATATAAATAGTTTTAACTCAATATTGAAAGATTAAAAAACATACTGTAAAGTATAATATACAATATTATTAAAACAATTCTATTACATAAATATGGTAACGATAGAGGTCGTCTAACTTAAAGATCATCGATGGAATCGGGGATTGATCCAAGATTTTTTAAACGAGGGGGAGGTGGGCACTAATTTGTCATAATAGTGCAATGAGGGGTGCTAGATCATGGATTCCAGACGATAGGAAGCTGGAGGGGCTGCTTGAGCCCCTACCGAAAACACTTTGCTAAATGCTAAGATGGTCTTCTGCAAAATAATGTCAGGTCTTTAACTGAAACTTTTCCGCCACGCCCCCTTTAATCCGCCACTAGATAATAATAATAACATGATATATCTACAATCGATGTCAGACACACATTATGCAGTTAAGTATTAGGCCACAAATCCCTCTGGTCAGGGTGCTAAATCGAGGACAATATATGCGTATGGCCCTTAAGGGGTCGGGGTTCCATGCCGACAGCCGTACGAGGGCGCAAAATACCTGTACAGTTTTTTTTTTCCCTGTTTGGGGGGGGTAGGTAGCTTTGGTAACAATACAATCATGAACTAATTTTAATTTAATTTTCAATACAAAAATGAAAAATAACTTCAGTTGTTAGAAGTCAAATTAAAAGATAAATTTATCTTTCATTATATATTAACTGTATTTATTATATTAGGGGCCTAGGCCTAATAATAATATTAGAAATATATCATAGAGGAAACTTTACGAAAAATCAGCGAAAAATACTTATATTCCGCCCTCATCGGCAAAAGGAACGGAAGTTAACGATAGACTCTTTTTTTGTTGTACGTTGTTTGTGTGAATTTTGGTGAGTTGGTTGAGTCTTGCCAAAGAATATTGATGGTCTTGCTTGTCGCTCAGAGACTGAAGTAGTGAAGATACAGGCTTAGCCTAGCTGACGTTCTACTTAAATGTCTGACATTTTCACTTCAAGCTGATTTCAACGTTCATGTGAGTAGGTAGATGGTATATTCTTGTATTTTAATTCTTAGTAAATTCTCGTGTTGAATGTTTTCTCTACGACGTGTCCTATGCTTCGTCTATTATGTCATTGAGTAGGCCTAGCTAGGCTAGGCCCAGGCCAGGCCGCGCGATGGCGAGGCCTGTGCCTCTTCCTCTCTAGGCATAATGCTAGCCTAGCCTAGGAGTGGAGCCTATAGTTGAAGGTACCTACGGGATGTTTTCATACCTGTCAATCTTGAGAAATTTCAAAGAGTAAGATCGGGTGTCACATAATAATGAGTGCCAGGGGTGGCGCCAGCGGGGGCGGGGACCCCGTCGGGGAGAGCTTCCCCCCACCCCATCAGGGAGAAAAAGTACAATTCGTCTGGGAGAAAAACAAATTCTATGTATTTTTGACATATTAGTAGACTCTAGAATCGATTAAATAAGCCTTTGAAACACCTAAATTCCTAGTTAAGGTAGAAACAAAAAAAAATTGAAATGTCCCAAATATTTTTTTATTTATTTTTAATCATAACTGAATGAAGCATTTTAAAACAAAAATTATGCAAATCGGACCAATATTAGCGGAGATATTGCTATTTTAAATATGTTTTTTGTTTGAGTTTAATTCCTATTGTTTTTATTATACAAGAAGTGTGTCCCTTACAGTATAGTATCTATTTATTTATTTATTAAGGTATAACACACAAAACAAAACAACAGCCAAAGGCTGAAAATGTTTGTTTACAATCAACAAATAAAGACAACATTCATAGGAAAACAGGTCAGGTGGAAAAATACATATCGAAATATCAAAACATTCAAATAATTACATTAGAAAAGTTAAAAATGTTAGGCCATGTTAAAATAATACTTGACAATTACTAACGATTATAATTTAGTATTTTAGTATATATATTTATATTAGATTTAATAATTTTTATCAACTTATAGATTCTACGTATAAAAATTATATTGAATCGCATGACTCTAGGCCTAATTGCAGACCTCAGACAACATGCTAGCCAGCGGGGAAAACATCATTTACCCTGCGTGTAGCCGCCGCAAATTAACGAGGGCGCCCTCTATTCGTACGCACATATGCACACAAATATTATTTAAAATTTACTTACTGTATCTTTATAGTTTAAAAACTGAAGAAATATGTTAACCAAAAAACTATCGAAGGTTTCCTTTTATTATTGAAAATCGAAGAAACATTGGTTGTACTAAAAAAACTTCGCGCACTTAAAAAGCCAATAACTTGGTCCAGAAATCATTTCTGGAGAGTTATCTGGAAGTAATTCGGTCAAATTGTTGTATACTTCCGCGAAATACCCAATTAATACATTGGATATCCTATCTCCATTGGGGCACTATTTTCTATCGCGATGTTTGTATTGCCGATCTATAGCGCCCTCTATCAATTTTATATATAGCTAGTTAATTGCCTATAAAATCCCCTACTTATCTTGCCTTGCAGTGTGTGTTTAATTGATGTACGATAAAAGATGCAATTGTTAGTCATAATTGCCGCCAGCTGAATCATTCATTTGACTTGTGGATTGAAAGAAGTTTCCATGTTGTTTGCAGTGAGGAGGACCTGTCTGTAATGGTTGGATAGGCCTAGGCCTCAGTCCTTCCTACCTAATAAGCTAGACTAGTATGTATGACAAAAAATTTCAAATTCAAGGAATTCTTTGCAGCATTGAAAGAGCATTAATGTAGCATTACATTGATGCCAAGATCATTGTCCTCCGTCAAATATCAACAAAGTTACAGAATTTAAGAAATTATAAATTAGGCCTATTTTTGGTGTTCAAATTAACTACCCTCTGAAAAGGCGGAAGCATTTAATTCCTACTACATTAACATACAGTAGGCGAATAAATGGCCGAAAAAGCAAATAAAAAATACCAAGATACAAATCCTATGGATTATATGAATAAAAATAGTGTTCAAAATTCTATGTTTTTTACTCCTTTAACTGAGTATGATATTAAGAAATATCTATTGAATTTAAACTAAAACAAATCGCCTGGTCTTGACGATATTGATGCAAAATTTTTTTAAATGAATTCAGATATATTAGCTATACCTCAAACTTATGATTAACTTATCACTCACAACTGGAATTTTCCCGGAGAAGCTTAAACTTGCTAAAACTATACCAATTTACAAAAGTGGACAGGGATGACATGTGTAACTACAGGCCTATTTCTATATTGTCATGTATGTCAAAAATGTATGAACGAATTGTTTACGACCAAACGGTTCTTTTTTAAATAAGTATAAAATCCTGAATGAAACACAATATGGCTTTAGAGAAGGACACTCTACAAATCATGCCCTCATTCAGACGATTGAGAAAATATCAACGGCAATTGGCAAACAATTATTTGTTGTTGTGGTCTTTCTCGACCTATCTAAGGCGTTTGATTCGATAGATCATAACGTTCTTCTACAAAAACTACCTTATCGTGGCATCAGACGTCTTGTACTTAAATGGTTTTGTAGTTATTTAAGTGGAAGAGAACAATCTGTAACTTTAGATAATATACAGTCTGATAATAAGTTGGTAAAGTATGGAGTTCCCCAGGGATCTATCCTGGGTCCCTTGTTATTTTTACTATTTGTCAATGATATGCCTTCAGTATGTACTAAATAAAATCCAATTAATAACGTTTGCAGATGATACCAATGTTTTCTTAAGACATAGTAACATAAATGAAGCATTCGATATGATGAATGAGGAGTTAAAACGCTTAAATATGTGGTTTAAAGCAAACAGGCTTACTGTTAATACCAAAAAAACTAAATTGATGGTATTTTATAGTGGTAGAAATACTATTATACAACGCGCATGTCGAACTCGTCATTGACCATTAACTTATTCAGAGAGTAGACAAAATTAAATTCCTTGGTATCACTATTGATGAAAAAATTAATTTCTCACAACATGTAATGTTATTGCTAGTAAGGTGTCTGCAATTATTGGACCTATGAATCTCCTTAAAATCTGCTACCATATCACATACTGCTTACTATTTATAAGTCTCTTGTCCTTCCTATTATATGATATGGGGTTCTGGTAGCATGACACACTTAAATAGAATCCATGTATTACAGAAGAAAGCACTTAGAATCATATGTAATGTACATTATCTACACCCATCTTCTCAACTTTTTGTTAAAACCAATACTTTAAACATATTTGATTAATACGAAAAAAAATGTAACCAACTTATAATGTTTTTATACTGTATAAGTGTTTATTACCCAAATCTTTTGATGATTTGTTCCATACACTTTTAAATCAAAATTGGTTTGATGACGAGGTCAAAGAGGAAAATGTGAGCTACGTTATGAGTATTTTCGGATCATATAGAGAAAAAATAAATACAACCTCAGCAGCCAAAACAATAGAGGGCTGTCCAGACAGTCAAGATGCTTGAAGAAAATATAGCGGTGCCATGATATCGCGCTCTCAACGGCCAATAGTCACGTACCTGAGCCAAGGCCTAGTACAGGCTAGGGCCATATGGAATAAGCTGCATTTCATTATGTGTACTGTAGCCTACTAGAACTGAGATTATTTCAAATCAAGAAGTTGCCTAACCAGACTGTAATATACCCATGAATATATTACCCAGA